AATTCCCCAGCCAGCATGGCTGGCTGGGGAATTCTGGGAATTGAAGTCCACTCATCTTAAAGTGGCCAAGTTTGGACAACACTGGCTTACGTTCTCTTCCTCTCTTTCTCCTCCTAGTACAAGAATGGAGGACCGATCATTGCCATGCAGGTGGAGAATGAATACGGCTCCTATGCCCAAGATCAAAATTACATGGCCTACATGAAACGGGTAAAGTTATCCCTCCACCTCTTTTGAACTTAAAAAAAAATGCTGTGGTTACAAGTTACACAAAGGCAAAACAAGCACACACAAACACACACACATACATATATGTACTGCAAAAGGGGAGTTGAGACATGCAAGAGCTGATCTGATTTATCCCATTGGACAGGACATGGAGTAATAGATGTAAGTTACAGGGAGGGAGATGCTCGTTAAATGGTAGGAAGAATTATATTGTATTGTACTGTACTGTACTGTACTGTATTTGCCCAACTCCAAAGTTCCTAAGAGCAGTAGAGCCAATTACTGGAAGACATGGGAGCCTCCTTTGCTCTGGATGTGCTTGTGTGAAGGTCAGGCAACCATCTGACAGGGGTGCTTTATTTGGATTCCTGCATGGAACAGGGGTTGGACTCAGTGGCTCCTTCCATCTCTAGGGTATGGTGACGCCTTGTTAAAGAGATTCCTGTGCTCTCTTGTGAAAGGAAAGAGATCGCTCTGCTCTTCTAAAACAAATAGCTTGAAAATCATGAAATGAACATTTGGCCCTGTAGAAAGGTTTAGAGCCTTCTTTGCTGTAGATTATTTTGCAAACCAGATTGAAGCTGCCTTGTAAACCCCGGTAATCTGAAGCTCAGGCCGGCTAATTTGATTAATGCCTCCTTCTGTCATCTCACCCAGCAGAGAACTGTGCACACTCCTGTCCATGTCCTGGGCAGGCTGGTGCTGAGAGATGATCAGTTTTAGCTTGGCAAATCCTCCTCAGGCTGCACCCTCTTCCCTTAACTGGTGGAAAAGCTTTGCTGCTGCAGAGGCATAAATGCCAGGGGTTACCTGTCTGGCTTGCACTATACACTTTCAGAAACAACAGTAGTTTGGGGTCTACAAGACCCTTCCTTCCCCACCCACCAACCCATTTTCTACTTTGCCATAAGATTGTTTGGTCTCTCTGATATTGTTGCTGCAACTGAAATAATACAGCAATACGATGACCTATTAATAATCACTACTCTTCCTCAGTCACTAACCCCTTCAGTACTAGCTTGCAGTCCTTATATTTATCAGCTATCCCAAAGAACTTGATAGAGTCCATCAGCAGTCTTAAAGTGACCTGATACAATAGTCCATTTGACTCCTCTAAATCTCCCTCCTGTTAAATGTCCTTTTTACAAGTCTTTGCCCACATTCAACTTTCCTGCTGCACAGTTTGTGAATTGCGGCTTCTCAACGTGCAAATGCATCTGTCTCCAAAAAGAAGGCGCCTCCTTCACGCTCACACTTTTTACACATCTTTCTGGTAGTTCTCGTAATACTAAGTGCAAATTGCCCTTCTAATGCAAACCTGGGCCTTTATAACAAGGCTCTTCTGACCTGCAAAGAGGCGACTGGAGAATTGATGGGATTAGTCACCTTCTCTCTGAAGTTTGACTCTTGGCAGGTGTTCATTTAAAGGAATCACATAGCAAGCCTCTTATTTTCTCCTCTGAGGTCTTACCATTATCTAGTAGTGGGAAGAGGAAAAAAAATCTTTTGGAGATGTAATATCGATAACACTTGTGATCTCTTCCACATCTCACCATCAGGAGATGGTTCTCGTTACTCCTCTTCTCCCACAAAGTCTAAATGGGATACTAATCCTCTCACCTGTTTAGTATTACCAAGTTTTCTGTCTAGTTGTTCAAGCTGGACTACAAAAATCTTGACCGCTGCGAAATACAGAAATGTCTTTGCAGCTGCCCTGTGGTTGTCTGAAATTTTGCAGCCTGGATCTGTAACCCTAGTTTACATTTATGGTACATGCTTCTGAAATTAACATGAAAAGGATGCATGAGACACAGTCTCCTTTGTAATGATTGTCAGGAAATCATGAGGCCTCTGGATTGATCAGGGATAATATCAGAAGTATCATGATCAACAGCAGATGTTTTCCTGGTGCAGCCCTGGCTCCAGCATGTCTTGATCCTTGTAACATCTGGATCAGAATCCTGTTGGTCCCTGAAAGAATAACTCCCCTCAAGCCTCAATTTGTTCCTGACACTGGCTTCTTCCAGGATATCAGACCTGAACTCCAGCATGGTAATCGTTCTTTCTTGCAGGCCCTGTTGAGCAGGAAGGTGGTGGAATTATTGGTGACCTCAGATAATAAAGATGGCCTGTCCACCGGCTTTGTAGATGGAGGTACGTTGTGGTATTCTGGGAAGGGATGACTGGAGCAAAGCTGTGGCCGAGATAAAAAACGTGCCATTGTACTGGGTATCTGCTACAATTTTACGAAAGAGTGGCATGTTTTTTTGTGTTAAGCGCATGTGAATAACCAGCAGTGCTGTAAAACATCTGTATGCAATGGAAAGCTTTTGAAATTATTTCTCTATTTAGGGGTCAGAGTTGGTGCTCAAGGATTTTTTGAATTTGTGGCTCTCCTAGGGGATATTTTGAGACATGACCTTTCACACATGATGCTTAGGGGTTGCCTATTCCACACTTTTGTTACCCCTAATTTGCTGTATCTCACTGTCTAGCTTTGCCCCAGCTTTGGTTCTCCCAGGTCCCTCTCTGGCTTTCATGTTCTTTGGCCTTCGGTTGTTAACCTTTTTTTGAAAATCAATCTCATGCTTTTTAGGCAATCTATATAATTTCTGTTTTTTAAAGAAGTTCCTCTTCTCCTAACAATCTCTTTCCTTTGGAGAAAAACATATTGGTTTTTTGTTTTGTTTTGTTTTGTTTTTTAAATCTTGCAGACCTGTGGAAAAATAGATAGGCCCAGCCTTCCTTGCTTTGATAAGAGCAGAGAAAAGATTCTGGAGGGCATAAACACAAGACCTCTAGGACCCCAACAGGATTGTCTAGAAATCTTTAGAACTGTATTCCCATCTAGAAGTTGACTTTCGGTTTAAAATATGGTTGATTGATTAGAATTTAAAAAACTTAATTTGTTTTTGTTTCATCTTGCTTTGCCAAATAAAGCCTCTAGTCCTGGTGGTGGTAGAATAGATTTGTGAGCCTAACAAGAAAGCATTTGGGTTATATAATGCTTAGAATTGCCAGACTGTCCTAGATTCGTCTGCTGCTGCCAGTGGTTTCTGATGCCCTGTTGTTATGTCCATTTTTCTTTACTTTATGGGGACTGCATATGAAGGATGAGTCTATAATTTATATGGCCTGGTTCCAGAATGTGTGGGTGTGTCTTTGCCTGCTGATTTATTAAAACTATTTTCATTCCATTAGTATGCTTCAGGTGACTAACTCAATCAGATATGCAGAAAGAACTTCACTAAATCTAATCAAAATGATAAGATTAACTCTGAACATCTTAACAATCACACAGCTCTGATAGAAAATTAAGAGTTTGCCCCTCTCTGCAAGTAGCAGAGGGAGGGTCAAACCAGAGGCTGAAATGGTCAGAAGCCGCAATAGGAATGGCCCAAGAGGATAATGATCCTGGTCCTTTCTTTGGCCAATGCGGACCATCTTTATCTGTTTAAAACAGCGTCGCTCAGCCTTGGCCATTTGAAGACGTGTGGAGCAGAGCAGCTGAAAACCTTGACATTTCCCAGGCTTATGTATGATAGGCAAAAATGTCTTTTTGGTTTCTGAAATAAAGCACCCTTTGCTTATGTACAGGGTGCGTCTTTTGCAACCTTTCAGTTCAGCCTTGCTTTGTTAAATGGGACCTTACAAATACGAGGGCTTGATTTAATGTGAATAGGCAGAACTGACGGAGAATGGCACATTCAGAGGTTCAAACTGGTAGGCAAAAGAAATTGAAGGGTGGAGGTTACTCTGTCTTCAGAGCCTGACTTGGTTGTGCAAAAGGGGACATTGATGTGGAATCTGACTATCCGCTTATAATTGTACAATTACAATTGTTTTTTTTGGGGGGGGGGCGCCTGCATTGTTAATATTGCTTCTTCCAGGGTCATAGAATAACCCTTTCCCACTCCTCATCCATGCACTGAAAAATAAACTATTTCTTCTTTTTGTTTGTTTTAAAAAATAATACTTGGCCATTTATACTCATTGAAGATGCAAAGCAATGTTAGAAAAAAGAACTAGAAAGACAGAAGAAGCCACAGTAAAGTGGAGGAAAAAAGTCTGTTGAAAATAGTAGCATGAGATTGATGTAGCAGGTAGACTTGGGGTGAATAAGACATTTTGGCTTAAGGCCAGCAGCGTTTCAGAACTGGGCTCCAGGTGAGCAGCCCAGAGCTTATGTTCCCCAGTCGGAGTGCCTCCCCAGAGAAGACCCTTTCACCATCACCAGATTATCAGCCTTTGTCCATGAGGGCAGCCAAGAAAGATCTTCCAAGGCCATTTATAGCACATAATTGCTTTGTGTGGAACCAGTTTGGTGTAGTGGTGAAGGTGCTGGCCTAGAAACCAGGAGACTGTGAGTTCTAGGCCTCCCTTAGGTATGAAAGCCAGCTGGGTGACTTTGGGCCAGCTGCCGTCTCTCAGCCCAACCTACCTCACAGGGTTGTTGTGGGGAAATAGGAAGCAGGAATACTAAGGATGTTTGCTGCCTTGAGTTATATATATAGAAAAGGTGGAATAAAAATATAATAATAATGACAACAACTAGGCGGTTCTTGAGATGGATTTGTTGACCGGCTGCACAGAACATCTGTGCATCAGCATCTCCATCTCCTTTCTAAGGAAACTGTCAAATCACAGCATCCTACCTGGGCCTCTTTCCAAAGGCTTTGTATAAAACATGTCATTTCTTGAATTAATCTTTTGCACAATCCAGTGTTGAGCTTCTCCTGGCTTCCAGGAAAGCAGAACCATCTGCAATTCCTGCCTTCCTAAAACTTCCTGTTGCGTTTGCCCTTTTGAAAGGCAAGCACCGAGGACACAGTCTGTCCCTGGAGTAGGCTGGCAGAAGATATTTCTCCTTCTGCCACTCCCTGCTCTGTCCATGTGGAGTCGCTCTCTCCCTTCTTGTGGCGGGGACAATGGAAGGGGGTGGGGGAGCATTTGAGCCTTGTTCTGCGTTTCTGCACGAGTGTGTTTACCGCCTGTGAGCACTCGCTTGCTCACTCACCCTCTTGTTGGGAGTTGTCTATTCCGGCAGACTTGTACGATGTGAACGTCTTGATCCCAGCTCCTGCTTCAGATGTCACAACAAACTGCTCATTAGAGTCAACATGTCAAGTAATCAGGAATGCGGAATTACTAGGGCCCTGAGTGATGCGATGACAACCGCCAAAGAGGCAAGGTGGCTGTGAGAATGCACAAGGAGTGCATAAAAGGCAGGCTTGAAAAAAGGAGAAAAGGAAGGGTGCTCTGCTGCTAGAAGTTGCCCACAAGGAGAAGATGCCATCTTGGTTGGTTTAGGTACAGTTCTGCCTCTGCTGTCTGCCTAGTTAACTTTTCAGGGTCCAGACAAATTTCTGAACCCTGGATTTCATATCTGTGCTGCATCAGATCTTCCTTTTGGAAAGAAGCTTTTAGTCCTTCTGGTCTATTAAAAATAGTGCTTCTGTGTTGCACTAGTGGTTCTGAATGAACACTGCTGTCAGATTCTTCTGCATCTGCCTAAAACCCAAAACACTGTAATATGTTTCCCAAGTAGGGTTGTCACAGTCTCTTTAGCAGATTCATTATGAAGAATGGGATGGAGTTAGAAGAGTTCTGGCAGCTACAGAATTTCCTATCTACAGTCAATATATGTCAAAGTACAGTACTTGAAGGTGGATTTTTTTCTTTCCTGCTGCCTTTCCATGAGCTGGTGAATTGGAGGGTCTCTTCCTTGCTAAAGAAGGAGCTTGCAGATGATGGTTTATATAACCATCTTCTGAATCTCTGTCAGTCTGGGAATTGACCGTTGCATCTGCTTTATGAGAGGGGCCATCCAATCTCATGTAATCCAGTCCAGCTGGGAGGGCCAATATAATCTTAAACCTTGATTCACAGCCCCGTTGCCAGAAATCCTTTTAACGGCTACTGATGCCGGAGCCTTCTACATGCAGAGTGGTGCTCTGCTTCGAATCAATAGCCCATCCCCTGCACTTTGTTTCTGATAACAGTGGCACATTAAGGGTGGAAAAATGGGAGCCTCCCACCTTGCTTAAGCAGCTGACCTTGGGTGAGCTAAAAATACTTCTTGCTGTGACCCTTAGGCCCTTCCAATCCTTTTGAAAAACAAATGTTGAGGACTCAGTGACCCAGAAATGAGACAGTAGCAGCTGGGCTTGGTGGATCTATCTACCTATTCCAACATGGTACCCTTGACATGAATCAATCAACTCCCATAAACTTCAGTCGAAGTCCAACATAATGGTGTGTGTGTGTGTGCGTGCGCACGCGCGCGTGGCATATTCAGGAAGGCTGTTCTACAGAATACAAGCAATATGGGATTGTTGAGGTAGTCCAGAAATCAGGAAGAGCAGGCTGATAGTAGCCAATGGTGGATGTATCTCTGCTTTCATCTCTTGCCCTCTAAGCACTCAATAGTGTCACACACAAGGGCAGCAGCTCTCCAAGATCTTCCATAAACTGAGATCCCCTCTATGCTAAGTATTTGGTGCAACCCTCAGCTGGGATCTCTTCTTGTGGTGCTGAAATCTTATGAAAAAGGGCTCTCAGTTTCTCTCCTCTTTATTTCCTTACATTTGGGAGCCGACTGATGACAAGGAAACAAATGTTCATGAACCTTCACACATTTCTCTCATTTCTGTTATTGTTGAAAGACATTGGGCAGACATCCTGTCTCCTTAAGTGTCGAAGCCATAAAGATAGGGGAGGAAGTGACCCCAATCTGCTAGCCTTCAGAACACCCTTTAGCTGCTCTGGTAATACCTCTGCATTCCTTGAAACGAGAAATATCAGAAGATCAAAAGGGGTGCCCCGAACTTTGACTAGCAACCAATAGGTCATTGGGAAGATAAGTTTCCCCCAATAATAAGGAAGATCCCAAATTTATGCCAATTTTAGCCAATCAATTTGTTAATTGCTGTATCTCCCTGTAAGAAACGTGTATAAAATCATCTTCTTTGGGTGTGATCGGGGTTCTTCTCTGCCTTAAGGGGAGACCCCAGCTGACTCTATTGACCTGCTTTCAATAAAACTTTAAAATCTCAGCTGGTGTTTTCGTGTCTGATCTGCCGGACTGAATCTGTATAAAATCATCTTCTTTGGGTGTGATCGGGGTTCTTCTCTGCCTTAAGGGGAGACCCCAGCTGACTCTATTGACCTGCTTTCAATAAAACTTTAAAATCTCAGCTGGTGTTTTCGTGTCTGATCTGCCGGACTGAATCCTAACTGGGGAGAGTCAGAAACTCTCAAATTTTGCTAACAGTGCTGTCCACATTCTTGCACTCAAATCCTTTGTGATTTTCTTTACACATCTTGGAATCCAAATCTCTTGCCCTTATTTCTTGAGCCTTGCTAACTTGCCATATAAAGGGCCAGTAGGTCATCCTCAACATGAATACCAAACCAGGAAATTACTTTACATTTTCAAGGGAAGTCTTTCTCCCCCTGTCCTCCACCCTAATTATGGGGGGCAAGGGCTACATTTGAGGAAGGTAGCGGCTCTGGAAGTTAATCTTCCCTTTGTAGCAACCTCCCTCTGAAAAGCATTGCCTCCTGAAGTTCTTGCACAACTTGTAAATAGTGGTATCCTTGCTCACAGCTTGTAGGCAGGCCAGGTTGCTCAGATGGGAGGGATTGTGTGTGTGTGTGTGACAGAGAGAGAGAAAGAGCAGGTCGGCAGGTGGGTGGAAGGGAGACTGAAGATCATGCAAGCACGTATGCAGATTTTAACCATGAGATTTGGCTAGGTTACTCGTATTCCCCTTTGGCATCGATTCCCTTATGTTGCCTTTCTGCACAGACAGGAGAAACCCCTGCCTCCGGCACATTTTCCACCTAGGAGTTTGGTGGGACATCTGGAAGAATCATGAGGGAGCACTGTGATTTGCAGCCCAGCATCTTTAACTGCATTACGAGGGTTGATGAAGCCATGTGGCCTCCACCACCATCACCTCTGGCAGTTGGGAGCTTGCAACCCTCTAGGCTTAATAGGGATTTCTGTTGGGGAAATCATAACTGTGGAGTGGGGATCTGAGAAAGGAGACTTTTCTTAACCTTCCCCAAGCTCTAAATCTGTAGGGTATCCAAGGAGCAAGGGAAATAAACTGGGAGAAAAAATCAGAGAGGACTCAAATTAGATCCCTTGGAGTCAGTCTCAGCCACATTTCTAGCGGGAAGCTTCTCTGAGTGGCTCCCTGGGTCCGTTCCATGACAAGTACATCACGGAGGGATGGCTTGAACATCTGAACTCATTGTTCCTGGTTGCCTCAAAGGTGCAACTGGTTTGGAAATCTTCTGTGATATTTTTTGTCAAAGTATGCCTTGGTGCAGGTATAAAGGATCCCTCAGTGGGAAGGCCATGACATGGCAGGATTGGGGGCATCAAGCCAAGGCTGGGAGCTGCCCTGTGAATTGGCTAGCCTAGTTGAAATCTTTCTCTTTTCTGTCCTTTTCCCTCTTTCTCAACAGCCTTGGCCACTATTAACTTTCAGAAGTTGGAGCCAGGACTCCTGTCCTCCCTCAGCAAAATACAGGTAAGGAGGACACTTCCCAAGGTCAGAGCTCATGTTCTAATGCTCTTGTTACGCGTTTTATGGTCTGAAAAATAGGAGGGCGCCAAGTGCAAGAAAGCCGGGTTTCTGGTTCACAGCACTGTATTTACCGCTGCATTCTGAACGTAAATCCTTCATGGGTTTCCTTGGGGTTCATTTTCTGCAGCCAAAAATAAAAAAGGTCATTAGAGACCCATCATTGGTCACTGCCCAATTGTGCCCCAAAGAATTTATATCCAGACAGGGTTGGCTTCGGTAAATATATTTCCTTTATGTGCTGGAGGAGGACTGCCTTTATCCTTCTTGTCAACAATCAGTAAATAACCAACTGAAAAGCTGGTTGAACCCTCTCTTGGTGCAGGATCTGGAGGTGAAGAATGTATAAAAGCCATTTTCCTTTCTCATTGAATCACTATCCCCATGTTCTGTGTTCATTTTTTTTTTTTTAAAGAAGCATTCGTTCTCTGCTCTTCACCCAGAAAATCTTTCAGAGTGGCTTATAGCTCAATAAAACTATAGTTCTTGGCCTGTAGGCTTGGATTCTGAAAGATACAGCATTCAAAGAAAAAGAGATGGGAAGAAAGAGGAAAAAATGCAAATTCAAGCACCAATTAATCTATCAGAATGGTATATACAGCTCACCTTCCCTTAAACTTTCAAAGAGACAGATATGCAACTCTTACATTGTGTTTTATATGCCTCCTGGTGGTCAGTATAACTTAAAGTTAAATTTCTTGTGATGACCTGCTGGAATGGAAGTAAAAATAGGGAGAAGAGGTCCCTCACCCCACCCCACCCCACCCCCTCACACACACCAATGTTCCTGCTGCAGCACAACCAAGGAAATATAATACCCAGGCTGGAAATATGCAGGCAAGAGCTGGCAGCTTAATGTCCACTGAGTGAAGCAGTACAATAAATAAATAAATGAGAATAATTCAGAAGTCGATTAAAAGCAAGTCTGTCAGAATAGAACGGTTCCTATGTTGAGGGCTTTTTCCCTTTCTCTATGATCTGGGGAGCAGATGTGGGCGAGCTGTGTCTCTTTTATGGCTGTGTAGAAGAAACAAACCTGGCTGGTGGACATTTTGTTCCTCTTGTCACAAAGCTACTGGGGAGGAACCGTCAAATCCTTCTTGCAGAAGCTAGATTTGCGGGAGGAGCTGTATGTTTACTTCTTTTCGGTGCTTAACATATTTGAATGGCTGCTAATTTTTTTCTGATCCAGAGCAATTGTTGATGCAGTTCAAGGGAAAAAGAGTTAGTAAGAGGAGACGAGGAAGTGCAGCTTCGATTTTCTGGCAGGCAAATTCCTTATAGGTTGCTGAAGCACATGGTGGAAGCTAGGAAGGACCTTTCTGAAACTGAGATAGAGAACCTGTGTATTGAGTTTAGGCTCCAACTGAGATAGAGAACCTCTCTTGCCCTCTGAGCTATAGTACAGTTATCCCAGACCAAGAGTTCTCTGGTCATTGTTCCAACTGTTGTCTTCAGTTTATGCTTAGCTGTGTGCCATAACAGTCCTTCCCAAGAAGGATCTGCAAGTAAAAATCCAACAATCCAGAAGAAATCAGATGACTGGAAAGCAGGCTGGAGAAGTCCAGAAATAGCAGTGGAAGAAATGGGTGGCTTCTGCCAGCAATGATCTGTTCATAGTAAAGGAAGTCAGCAGATTGGCCAATCTTTGACATCTTTCATAATCACAGATCAAGGGAATTATATGTAGTTTACCTGGGGTTCACCATGACCACCTCCATATTCTGGTTTTATGGCACACATGGAACATAAAGCGACAAAGCAGACTAAGTTCATGCAACATGCTAGATTAAAATGCAGTCAAGTAGTTGGTGGCTCATTGTCTCACGTGAATCCAATCATTGGGCTGTGAGGCTTTCAATTATACTTAATGTGTTTTCACAGCGCACTCCCCTATGGCTCCCTTCATTCACTGATTATGTGTATGTGTGTGTGTGTTGGAGCCTAAACTCAGTACACAGGCTGGGGGGTCCAAAACTGGAAGCTAACTGTAGTTGGTTAAATGGGAGCACAGCATGTCATGGTTGTACAGCCATGGGTTGTTCTACTGTCTAAACTCCTGGCCCTCATCGAATCAGGAGTCTGTACAACATAAAAATAATAAACTTTAAAACCAGGATATTGTAGGAATCCAGTCAGTGGCTGAATTCACACATTGTATCAAGCCTTGATTTTCTTAATAAAATCTTATTGGTTGGGTTTGCATATCCCATGATACTATATGCTGTGGTTCACTTAATCCCAATGACTGAGTTCACCTAATGCTGTAAACTAGTGATCCAGTCCTTCTTTGCAAGGGACAAACTTTATAGCCACCCTCCCAATACCCCCAAACTTAGGTTGCCTGTAGCACTATTCAATGCTGACAGGTTGTGGAGACCTTTACCTGTTAACTGTATAGAGCAGTGTTTCTCAACCTTAGCCACTTTAAGCTGCGTAGACTTCAACTCCCAGAATTCCTTGGCCAGTGTGGCTGGCTGGGGAATTCTGGGAGTTGAAGTCCGCACAGCTTAAAGTGGCCAAAGTTGAGAAACACTGGTATAGAATATCAGCTTTCCGTATATGGGATTGCCAGTAGCTTGGCCAGCTAGAAAGAGAATGAATTTTACCCAGATTTGGGGTAAAATAAGGGATGCAATGGGTCAGTTAAGCCACCGCAAAACCCAGCAAACCCACTAGCCCTGATGACATCAGTGTATCACTGGCAATGCTCCTGCAACCCTCAGAGACCTCCCCCCCAAAAAAAGCCAAAATGCAGCCACCAAACCCAGATAAATTCCCCACTCTTGCCTTAAGGCAGTGTTGTCCAAATTTGGCCACTTTAAGATGAGTGGACTTCAAACTCCCAGAATTCCCACGCCACGCATGGGTGGGCTG